CCCCGCTTCGGCATTCAAGCGCAACTTATTCGCCGATTACGCACTACCAGGAAGGGCCCGTTTGACTCTTGTCAAAAATGAATGCCATGAAAGGCGTCATTTCTGTATCGTAAAAATCTGACGAGGAAATGTGTGTGCCTAAGTGCATCTACTGACATGAATCCTTTCGATCTGGAAGAGTGGTCGAGTGCCACAGTCATGTCAGTCAATCCACAATTCAAGCATGGGATGTCACGGCAAGGCAAAATCAAATTACTGCACTGTGGTCACTGCTGCGGCACCCCGAAGTATTTCCAGTCACCAACTATCTAAGGTTAGCATATCTGAAACAGCAGGATCGGCCTGACTAGTAGAGTCTGGTATGCTGAAATGCTCTGGTATATGATTTGTAAAATGCAGTTCAGTATTATTCTGAGGTTCATATTCATTGGCATAGGCAGATCTCCGCTATATGTTTTCGTGATTAATATTGTACCTCCTCCAGACACTGCTACAGTGTGTGTGAACTGAATTGTGAACTGGAAAAACGTTCTGAACACTCTCTCACAGCCCATTCTCTCCTCTAGCCATTTTTTCAAACCAACCAGATTCTGATGTCCCAATTTTTTACGAATAGCGATCTGAGAGAATTGTCAAAACGCACTAAAAGAGCGGCCGTTTTATCGATTTGATAAAACGGCGAAAACTGAGAATGAAGTATTTTCAAAACTACTCTGAGGATAACACAATTTAATAGCCACAGACGTGTTGGTCGATAATACAAATAATGGAAACACATCGTTGAGGCAGACCTGCTTCCAACAAGGAATGTGACTCTTGTCGTGGCAGTGAACGTTGCCTAATATTTGAATTTGAAATCCCGTTTCTCCCCATCATACATCATAAATCTGCGTTACTCTACCGCTGACGCATTGTAAGCCTTGTATGACGTTGCCAAAAATATTTAACATATGTTATTGACTTGTTGACTGATCAGGAATGAAATGCGAACGGTTGCGTTTGGCAGTGTCAACGTTGCTTACTAAATTGCGTCAATTGACATTCAAGAGTCGTCTCTGATTCCTCATGCTATAAAACTGAAGAGTACTTTTACGTGTCTCCTCTGCAACGCAAGGATCCGGGGCTGTTAGCCACAAACACGGTATGCGCAATTGGTTTGTTCGTGTTCACTCTTAAGGGTTCATGTCCACGGTGACAAGACCCAAACAGATGAGCGTTAGGCCAAAAGGATCCCTCTTATGTGTTTCGCTGTTTCGCCATTCGGACGTTCCTCGAAGACCGCCAGTCCCCCTATATACATTGTATTGCGTAGAGTGATTCAAAATTCAGATGAACTAATTCAAGATACAACCAGTAAGACTCTGGTGAAGGGACAGGTATAGCGGTTCTGAATATGAGTCACGCATTTCACAACCACAGCAAGGGCCGAAGAGAATAGGTTTACCCTTCTCCCTCCTGACACACCATTCCTTATTTGGAGGTGGAGGATTTTTTGACTTCCTCGTCACTGTAATAATCCAGTAAATTTCTGTAACAAACCGCTGCACTTCCGGTGCTTAAATGTTACGGCGGAGCCGTGGTCTGTTGAAATACGGCGACAAGAAGCAAAGGAGTGACGTATTGTTGCGGTAGACATCCGTTAGTCTCACACTGCTTATTCAACATCGCTGTAAAGAAAGTGTTTTGTGACTTGTACTTTGATTTGTGACTCTACATGAACCATTTTCGTCATGTAAATCCGGTGGCAGGTTTTCGTCCACCGGCGGGATGGAAAAGTGGCTATTTGTGGTAACTACCCCACAAAATCCGGCATATGTCTTATTGCTATTTTTTGTTATAAAGGTTTGAAAGCGGAATTCTTTTAGAAAATAATGTGCTGGTCGTTTTGTTAGGTTAAGAGTAAGTACAGTGTTCCTCACTTGTCGCCTGACGCAATTCGTGCCAACTGTAAGTCGGTATTATAAGCGTTAGCGTGTTACGCGTGACCTTAAAACTACAAGAAAAGCGTGTAAATCCCAAGAGAAATTTTCCACTACACTACCTTCTACCGAAGACGTCGGTTCAAGAGGCGTCATTAATTTTCCGCCAACATTTTAATTGCTGAAATCGGCTGTCGCTTTCCTTTTGTACCGCGCTATAATGGGCGACACGAAAAGCGATTGAACTCTGCGCTTGATTTGACAATGTTGGTGAAAACGAGCAAAAAATTATTCACAACCGCCGGCCACGAGTTTTGCCACTCGAAACACGAGCAATTACGCATACTGGTACACGCCCCAGAAATAAAATTCCTTTGATACAGGCCGTTGAATGTATTTATGATGGTCAAAAGAAGGGTCATTTATCAACGAATGAAATGCGCGATTACATAAGATATTACACTTGAATTGAGGAGTCCGGATTTATGCGACAATAACTCACCGTCGCTTTGCATATAATTGTCTAGGGAGATCGTTTTGATAGACTACGGCTTCATGGCATTTAAGCACGATAAAGTGAACCGGATGCAAGACCATATCTTTGAGTTAGGCTCAGCATCAGCATGTCTGACGACGAACAGAAGCTCCCAAAGTTAAAGACAAAACAAATCAAAATATAATCCCGAGGTTCTGCAGTAATGTAAAACACTGTCGTCTGGAAGAAGAGAAAAAGAGCACAAAGTTGAAAGCAGTGGGAAGAAAAATCAGTGAAAAACAAACGGGAGAAGGGAAAAACTAGAAAGCAAATATGGTGGGAGAGCTAACAGTTTAACCATGTCAACTGGCGTTAGAGGGTGTGTGCCTGCTGAGAGAATCACCTTGAGTCGTTTACCCAGTCTCTCATTTGTGATGTACGTTGTATTCACAGTTTTTGAACAGTTTTGCTAACGTACAAAAAAATATTCCTCCAAAAGCAAATTATTTCTACCATGTTCCCTCATGTCGTTTTCTCGTCGACGTCTGCCGTGTTTTAACTTTCATGTGAGAAAATGAAGTTTTGAGTAAACAATGTATGCTCAGCCAGTTTGTCTAAGAGGGCCAGCCTCCTTTTCTTCACCTCTACATCTGCAGTCACTTGTGCCCGGAGAAGACTAATTCTTTACATGGTCCTGGCATTTAATCCTCATTATGCTCGAATGTACTAGGCTTAATTTCAGAAATCTTCTGTTCTAAAAAGCGATCGAATATAATCTGAAACATCAGCTGTACGTTTCCAAGTTAAATTTCAATTTTGATAGCTCATTCTGACATCACAGATCATATAATTTAAGAAATCCTCCAATTATTGCGTTCATTCGGCTGAACTCGAAAAATCATTTACGGGATGATAATTAATATCGGTATGTGCCTACATTCAAACATATCGGATCTTGCTCCAGCCGTCTTTAAGAAGAAGCATAACGTAGGCAAATTATGATATGTTACAGTATGAATCGTTACAGTCAGGTAGCAACTTCACTATATAGAAGTTATCGCTCGATAGTGGATACTGCTTCATTATATCGCTCAGTTGCGGACATAGTTCCATATCAAAGATTACTCTTGCTTTGATTCGATTGAATTAAATAGGTTTACTTCATCGTCAAACTTCAAAAGTTTCCCTCCAAAAGTATTCCTTTCACTTGATCCCATATTGTCTGGTCGTTCTGTTTTGTCCCGGCTATTTTATTCTACTAAAGTATAGGGCGCTGGCATATAGTCCGAGCTGAATTATTCCGTATTGTTCCATGATGATGTCAGCCGTTTCATCTTAAACGCATTACGGACTTTACACAACTCTTATGACGTGCTTTATGATTGCTGACTCTGTTTACTCTTCATTCCAGTGAATTTATTTCTATGGCTTCGTGCCAGGTACTAGGGCGTCTATGCTCTTCTCTGAATTGATGTATGTTCCATCTGTGTATTCTGCTTGTTCATTGTTCACACTAATGTTTCTGTGATTACTGTTAAATGATAAACATGGGAAGGAGGGTAGGAATAGGTGGCGTAGTACTTTGTCATGATCCCTTGTCCAGCCTTGTAGTTAGGACATTCTTGGTCCGGGCAACTTTTAAAACAGACAGCGCCAAAGTTTCGTTAATGACTAGCCACTTTTCTTGCCGATAGTGTAATGAGACCACACTTTACTTTACCAAATGAGTGGTCTCTACTGCATGGCTTCCAAGAAAAAGACTGTTGGTTGGCTCTGAAGAGCATGGCAAATACCTATTCCAACATCTGCGGTGCACAGCATATTGTACCGCGCCTTCGCTCATAAATGCTCAAGGGCCACTCTCCGCATACAGGGTATTAACAAGGGATTTCCTTATTGTTGCTGATTTTAAGAAATGATTCTCTGTAAGTTAGATAAATATTTTTTTACATATTGTCAAACGAGAAAAGATGGTAAAATCTTAATTTTGATACTTTACTTTTAGATCTTCATATGCTTGTTTGACTGTCGTAACCATGTATCAAGGAAAACTCAGCCGATCGATTTTGGACCCCGAATCCAAATGTCTAATGAGTAGATTACATGTCTAAATTAGTCCATTACAATAAGAATCTATAATCAGTGCTCCATAAGTAGAAACCAAAAAATGGAGACGATTGGTTTTATAAATTAATTTAAACACTTATCGTAGCATGAATGACAGTTATCTTGGACATAAAACCTAACGGGGTCATCGAACTCAAGAATTGGCTCTGGAACAACAGGTAATGTTAACGATCAAGCAATATTTTGACGAAATCAAAGGCAGCAAATACAGCGTAAACCGTTGGACTACTATAAAAGACGATACTCATAAAGTGATGAAGATTTTAACACAATATAAACATATTTTAATGTTTATGATAACGAGTACCATTTGCTGAAACATCGTTTGTGATGAACGCCAGGTGGATTCAGCGAACAAAATTGTGCGAAATGCACCTGGCGCTGGAGCTTTTTAAAATACCACGAAGCAATCATTTGTTTATATGACACCTTAGACTGCTAGGAGTAAGGAAATGGCGCAATCTAGTCTTGGAAGTCATGCGCCATTTAACGACTCCGGTGTACGAAAGATTTTGATGTTTATACGGTAGCATATAAGGAGTACTAGTTTTCGAAACATCAATTGTAACGGACACGAGGTGACTGTAGCGAATAACCTAAATGCAAGACGTATCTGGCTACATGTGCTCCAATGATGTGGAACAATGGCTTGTTTCAATGGCCTTTTATACAACTAGGCACAAAGGGGTGATGCAATTCGTCGCAAAATCGGGCCTTATACTTCATTTGTTAGCACTTATTCATCATTAAAAATTGACTTGCATCGTGCGAAAGTGAATATCACTCAGAATACGTATTGAAGGAGAATTGTGGAGCGCTTGCTAAGCTTCAGTAGGAGGTTTTTCAATACTTCGTATCACCATCCTCTTCACTCACCGTTCTAGGAGGTGTGAGGTGAAGAGTATTGGAATGCCCAACCTTCCATTAACTAAATCTGATTCAGTCACTTCACATCAACGTCATCCCTGTGGTGTGCGCTTGAAATTCTCTTTGCTCACCTACGCATAACAGCGCCTTCCGACAAAGCCGCTTTCTGGTACTGTCACTAATATTCTGCTTGGCAATGGAAGATATTTGATTACGTGTGCTATGTAGCGATAATCGTTAATTGCCAATTGCCAATTTGTGACATTAACTGCCATTGCTAACTGCCAAGACGTGACTTCACAAATGATCTCTTCTGCTTCCGCACAGCTTAAACCCAACAGCAAACGTTAGACACAGTTTGAAAAAATGGCTACCATGCTAGTTGTGTCAGAAAACCGAAAGACAACGAAATCACCAAGTTGCAAGAAATATTACGCTGGAAGAAGATAAAGCTTCAAAACTTTGTTACAGGGAAATCGGCCCAAAGCGCAAAGTGTGACAACGAAAAGGCGAATATCAATGGCAAAACATAATCCCCGATGCTCTGGGGGACCTTTCGATACCGCCGCAAAAGATGACAAATTAAAATTAATGATACAGGATTGAAGCGCAAGAACGTAGTGTAAAGAAAAAAATCTAGAGAAGAAAGAGTGACAAAATGGAACCGCGATATTCTGGGAAGCCATCGATTCCATCGCTGAATGAATCACAGTAAATATAATAATGATACTAAATTGAAAAGGCGAATGCACAGTGTCAAAAAAAAGAAAAATGTTTTTATCATTCTTTCGCCTACGGATCGTGGCGTTTATTATTTGAACATACTTTCGTTCAACCCGTGATCGAGACCGGGTCCTACGTCCCATGCACCGCAGGCGCAGCGCTTAAATACTATGGAGCCGTGGTTTGCGTAAATGGTCACCCTAGGCGTCTAGAAGCAAAGAGGCGGTCAGCCGCTGGTGTAAAGTGAGAAATTTAATTTTTTTTACTTACACCGTGCATTCGCCGTTACAATCCGGTATCGTTATTATATTTACTGTGATATATTCAGCTTGGGGAATCAGCGAGAGCGATAAACTAATGACAATTATACCTTGTCGGACAAAATAATTATACTCTTCA